GGCTGGAGCCATGCCAGGTACAGGGTCTGCTGGCTGCGTGCTGGCAGGCTTGCACCTGGCACGGGCACCGTAGCCAGCCTGTGTCCCTTTAAGGGCTCCGGGGCCGGGAGGGGGGCAGAAGAGTTTCCCTGGTGGTGCCCAGAGTGGCCACCAGGGAAAGCTGGGGAGGGCTAGCCTCCCGCTAATTCGAATTAAGTGGCTACACAGCCCTTAATTCGAACTAGTTAATTCGAACTAGGCGTTAGTCCTCGTAGAATGAGATTTACCTAGTTCGAATTAAGCGCTCCGCTAGTTCGAATTAAGTTCGAACTAGCGGTTTGTATGTGTAGTGCCTATCAAAGTTAATTCGAACTAACGCCTGTTAGTTCGAATTAACTTTGTAGTGTAGACATACCCTTTGGCACTGTGTCAACAGCACCAAATTACAAAATAAGCTATTTTGAAATTATCTCAAAATAAGCTAAGAAATTTGTGTACCTCAAATTGCATAGCTTATTTTGAGCTAAGGGTGCAGGGTAGAAACACCCTTAATGACCAGATTTTGAGAACATAGATCCTTGTTACATTTGGAAAATAAGGCATTTTAAGGTATTCTTTTATATGTGGTGCAGGTTTTTTCATAATTTTAAAATATTTTAAAAGCTAATAAACATTTTTACATTTGGCCTAATTAAATAGAGACAGATAGAGGGATTTGGATATTACACATTTTACAGAACTGCTGTATTACCTTTTCTACAAAAAGCCTTGACATTTTAAAGTATGAGGACTTATCTTTTTCATATTTCTTCTTCTGGAATTACAAGTAGGATAAAAATTAGCCTTTTAGTAGCTGCAACTTTGGTAGAAACTCTGTCCTCTTTATAAAAAGACAACACCCCCAAATGCAGAGCTAGGGCTGAAATGCTATTCCTCTAGTTATAGAATCAAAGGTCCTTACAACCTGAAGAAGAACAGGATGGATGATTCCTATTGGCTATCAACTACATTGATTTTATAATCTTTCTGAATTGCAAGCAATTATTAGAAAGCAACGCACAGGCTTTGATTCTGCTTCCAATGAAATCAATGACAAAAACTATCAACAAGAAATGATGTCAGATATGAACTTGTAGTTTCCTTTGCAATCAGTAAGCGCAGTATAGACATAAGAATCATTTCTAAAATTTAAAAGGATTTTTACTTAAATCTTTTTTTAGCATTAAATCACACTGGAAAATTAAACAAATACCCCATCCGAAAATCTTAATCCAAATATTTTGTACTTGTTGCCCTGCCCGTATTAATTTGTGTGTTCCAGGTTAAATGAACCTGCTTCTTATTTGACCAGTAGTGGAACTTCTTTACTTTTATTTGGCAGACGCAGTTTGATATTAATGTGTTAGAAATTATTTTGATCACCTCTACAGCAATTTGCACCCCAGAAATCTACTTGCAGAAGGAAAGTGAAAGCTAAAAGAAAAAGCAATTTTGGTTTGGGGAACTCATTCTTTCTATAAAAGATTATAGAAATGTTGGGATTTTTTCCTCCAGATCTCTACTCGAGAAGAACTTTTAGATCACCTACTTGAGTGTGATGTCATTATTTATAACATCACTGAAGATGCAAATCAGATTGAAGAAGCTACTTGGGCTGCTTCTGGTTAGTATAATCAATATGAACAGAAAACTGCCTGTCATGCAGTGATCAGAATTTGCCATGGATAATTAGTCAAATAATATGAGATTTGTAATTTGCTGTGATCTGAAACCAGGTTCCTAGATGAAAGGAATGGGAAAATGGTGAACTTTAATTATTACAATGTGTATTGGCTAGAACCCATTTGTACTTTAAATTTTAATCGAGTAACAGGACAATGACAGCCAATAATAAATACAAATATATTTAAAAGGGAAAGATATTTATTCAATGTACATTTTATTATCAACTAATAGATAGCATATTTAAGACACTAAGGGTACGACTACATTGCACGGCTATTTCGGGATACCAGAGGTATCCTGAAATAGCTACCCCGCATCTACATAAGCTGCTTGTTATTTCAAAATATTTTTTGAAATAACAGGTGTGCTATTTTGCCATCCCGGTAAACTTTGTTGCATTGGGGGTTAAGGAATGGCTTCCAATGGCGCATTATTTCAAAATTTGGCACTGTGTAGACATGCCAAATTTCAAAATAAGCTATTTCGAAATAGATTCAAAATCAAATACGCAGTTTGTGTAGCGCAAATTGCATATCTGATTTCGAATTTAGGGTGCTGTGTAGACGCACCCTAAGTGTAAAATTCCATCAAATCAGAATTCTCTATTCAGCGTATTGGTAGTAATTTGATTCTTTTGCCAAGACATCTCAAACCTCGTTATCAGAAAAATCCCTTCATTTCTTTTCAGGCTTGCTGGTATCCTAGCAGCAAGGAAAGCACTTTTCCACAATGATTCTGTACACATCTAGACTATACTCTACATATTTTTAAAATATTCAATTACAATGGGAATCTGTTAAATTTTGATTACAGTACAGTGTATCATTTACTAATACCATTCATGCATAGGTTTGCTGTGGGCTCTGTGAGGACACTTTGCAATACAGCAAGAAGAGGGTAGGACAAGATGGGGAGAGGAAGGAACGGGAAGAATACTGCTAGTGTTTGGATTCTCCCATATGCCTCTCATCTGGGCTGCTTAATGGGCCATAGTATCTACTCTACCCATTGAAATGGAATAGATTCTGTTGAATGGCTCCTGTAGCCACGCTATGACCTATAGAAGAAATTTATTTCCCCTAACAACTGTCCACTGCCCAACTAATCTGTTCAGATTGGTAGCTGGGTGGGCGATTTGCCCCTTTGTAATTTAAATCAACATCAAAATTCAGTATTTTCCAAAGCAATTTCAACTATATTTTAACTTAGAACAGCAGCAGATCCATTATGACTCCTCTTTTTGTAAAGTATATCTGACAAGGAAACCCAAGTTAACTACTTTCAAAGATTCCAGCAGTGAAAGTAAGAAGATGTTTGTGCAACAGTAAAGACAAATTACACTCTCGTGTTTATATCATAATTATTTGAGTGGGGGAAAAACCCTTAAACCTAGTTTTATTATTTTTCTCTGGATTAAAATAGGGGTGCTGCATTATTGGAGTAATTTGTAATGTTTCTATTCTCATGAAAACATTACATACTTTAGTTTGATAGTGAGATCTTAATGATTCATTTTTATTGACAAGTGATTTTTATATGGCATTTAATCCCATTATGTTAGCTTGATTTGATAAGCAATAAGAAATATATGTATAATATCAAACAAAATGAAATTCATTTGTTAAAAAAAGTTATGTCACTTGAATGTTATAGTAAGTGTGCTTTTATGGACCATTTTAACTTGAAAACATGAGAAATAATTCTATTTATAGTAAAATAAGCACTTTGCTTTGATTATACAGCACTACATGAAGAGATAAAACATTTTGAGAAACCAAAGTTATTCATCTTAGTTTCAACAATAATGACATGGGCACGAAGCAAACCTCTTGACCCTGTAAGTAATATTAATGTTCACTAAATTTTCTCTTTTCATTTAAATATTTTAGCTTGTACCCTAGTTACAATGAACTTGATCAATATCAGCAAACTAATTTTCACTGTAGAATTTTGCACCTATATCACTTACTGCAAAAATTTTAGTCAATCTCTCTCTCTCTCTCTCTCTTTGTCTATCTATCTAATTAAATAGGACTGTTCTTGGATGTAGAATGATATGTATGTTTTTCATTTTTGGGACCATAGATAACCAGGGAGCACATTTTGTAGCATCTTTTTGAAATTCTCATATTTAAAATTGTTTCTGAAACAATATATGTTATTGCTATGAAAAATAAATTTCAAGATTTTGTTATCCTTGTTTTCCTTTTAAGTAATTTGATACATCTATGTTTTAAAAAGTGTGGATCAGCTGATATTTTTTCTCATTAAAGATTTTCAGAGTATATTTAAAAATGGAGCATTTTTATATCTAAGTTGAATTAAAAATGAATGTACTTTTGAAATATCTTGGTTTAGGCCATTTTTCAGGAAAGTGAGATATTTTTCTTAACGTTTTTTTCTCTACAGGATGATTCAGAAATTCCTTTTACTGAAGAAGATTATCGCAGAAGAAAACCTGACCCTAACTTTATGGACCATATAAATGCTGAAAAAGTGATTATCAAACTTGGGAAAACTGTAAGTATCACAAAATAATTTGAATACCATTCTTATTTACTTTAAACTGAAGAATTAATAATATAAATTGTCTGCAGTATTTAACAGATTCATGAACATTAGCCATATTATGATAAGACAATCAACAATGTTGTATAATGTGTCCTGGAAAGTCAAAATGTAAATTAGCTTTGCTTCCCTAAGATGTATTCTGTGAAATTTCCCTCACAGACATAGTCTCATTATGGGTTCTGGAGGTTATATCTGGCATCCAAACTATCTGACAGTGCATCTATGAGAAACAAAATACTGTACTGGAATAGAAGGACCACTGGTCTGAATCTGTGTAATCATTCCTATGTTCACAATCCTTTCTAACCAGGCTAATAGAGGTATTATAATTACCTTTTAAATACTTGTTTGCATCACAGAAGAATGTTGGAAAAACTCTCTCATGGGTTTATTATTTTGCAGTAATGAGACAACTTTCTTATTATATTAGTCTGAAAGATAACCAGGTAAAATCTCTCTGGCTTTATGACATCATTCAGCTTGGAATATACAATACAAAGCACAAGACAAATACAAAGGAATCATTTATAATAGCTAGAATATGACATCTAGTGGCTCTAATAAATATTGCAAAAGAAGTTGAAGGGCACTGTTTGGCATTCAGTGACTAAATTTTATATTGCAAGATTACAGCTTGATTATTTAAAATGTTAATACAAATTTCAAATATTCGTTCTGTTCATTTTCCTGGAAGCACCTCACATTGGCTGCTGTTGGAAGACAGGATACTAGAGTTGATGGACCTTTGGTCTGACCCATATGGCTGATCTTAATGATGTTCTATATTGGATAGTCACAATTCTGGGTAAACGTTCTCATGAATATGACTTATGGCATTAAAAAGATATTTTTAGAAGCCCTGAATACTTTCAAAGGCCCATTACTTCATACTCTAGTGTATTAGGATGAATATTACATCTATAATCTCTTCTGATTTTCCTCTTTTTATCCACGTTTCCATCTAATTAACAAGCTATTAGTGTCAGCTGATATGAGAAATATTTCCTCTTTGTTGTGATTTTTAATTATTTACATATGTGAAACAGGTTCCTTTTATGTAATATTTTGTCTATGAAGTCAAAGACTGACTGATAGTGTTCTTAGTTGTATGCTTCTGAAATATTGTAAAAGTAATTTTAAGAGATATTATCCTCATAATGAAAAAAATATATGGTTAATTCTCCATTTATTCCATTAGTGATGAATGCAGAGTCTTTTATAGAGTCAGATTGACAGGATGACTAAGATATTCCCTGCTTGAAGGTGATGAAGAAAGGTTTTGTTTCCAGTGGAAAATTTTTAAACTTATTTTAATTTAAAGGAAATACTTGAGAGTCCTTTCTATTAGGAGAAACTAAAAGAGGAACAATATTCCATTGTCTTCCTTTTAATATGAGAAGCAATGATCTGTTGCTCAGACAACTTGCTCTTCCTCTTGGAAGAGCTCCACTGAGAACACTGCTGAGCCATCCTATCAGGAGGCTGTGATATGGCTGCTCTGTAGGCCTTTGGCAGGAAGGCTGTTGTTGAGGACGGGAGGAGCAGTGCACCATACTACAGCTAAGGCATGGTATAAGTGGTTAAGGATCACACCAGAGGAGCTTGTGGACCTGGATTAGATACGAGAGTTCTGATAAACAAGTGCTTTATATTGATACAGCTAATTTTTTTTCCACATGGAAATATGCTATACTGGTGTAGGCACCTTTATATCAATACAACTACATCCACACTATAGCTTGGCTCATACAATAAAATTTGCATTATGTCAACACATCTTTTTGTCCGCACTTGATTTTGAGTCCAGTTGGTAAACCCCTCACCTTCTGAAAACCACTCCCTTAGCACTATTCCACTGTAGAATGTGTGTGGATACAGCATTACCTGTATTTAGGATGATCATATTTCCAGAGGGAAAATGGGCTGCTATGTGAGGACAGTCCTTCTTACCTCCCCCCTCAACTGGGGCTGACCCAAGCCCTGACTCTTAATCCCCAGGTGGGGTGGGTGCCACTCTTCTCTCAAGTCCAGCCTGGCCCATGCTTGTGAGTAGGGATGTCAACGTGTAGTCAACTCTACGATTAACTGATAAGCCTAGCCAGATGGCAGACAGCCTGGGAAACAAAGGCTACATCCACACCCAAGAAAAGGTGCGGATGAAGATAAAGGAGCTCCATCAAGCTTATGCCAGGGCCAAGGAGGGCAGCTCCCAATCCGGGGCAGAGCTCCACACCTTAGAATCATAGAATCATAGAATAATAGGACTGGAAGGGACCTCAAGAGGTCATCGAGTCCAGTCCCCCGCCCTCAAGGCAGGACCAAGCTCCGTCTACACCATCCCTGACAGATGTCTATCTAACCTGTTCTTAAATATCTCCAGAGAGGGAGATTCCACCACCTCCCTTGGCAATTTATTCCAATATTTGACCACCCTGACAGTTAGGAATTTTTTCCTAATGTCCAATCTAAACCTCCCCTGCTGCACTTTAAGCCCATTACTCCATGTCCTGTCCTCAGAAACCAAGAGGAACAAATTTTCACCTTCCTCCTTGTGACACCCTTTTAGATATTTGAAAACCACTATCATGTCCCCCCTTAATCTTCTTTTTTCCAAACTAAACAAGCCCAGTTCATGAAGCCTGGCTTCATAGGCTTCTCTAGACCTTTAATCATTCTTGTCACTCTTCTCTGTACCCTTTCCAATTTCTCCACATCTTTCTTGAAATGTGGCGCCCAGAACTGGACACAGTACTCCAGCTGAGGCCTAACTAGTGCAGAATAGAGCGGCAGAATGACTTCACGAGTTTTGCTTACAACACACCTGTTGATACAACCTAAAATCATATTTGCTTTTTTTGCAACAGCATCACACTGTTGACTCATATTCAACTTGTGGTCCACTATGACCCCTAGATCCCTTTCCGCCATGCTCCTTCCTAGACAGTCGCTTCCCATCTTGTATGTATGGAACTGATTGTTCCTTCCTAAGTGGAGCACTCTGCATTTCTCCTTATTAAACCTCATCCTGTTTACCTCTGACCATTTCTCTAACTTGCTAAGGTCATTTTGAATTATGTCCCTATCCTCCAAAGAAGTTGCAACCCCACCCAGTTTGGTATCATCTGCAAACTTAATAAGAGTACTCTCTATCCCAATATCTACATCATTGATGAAGATATTGAACAGTACGGGTCCCAAAACAGACCCTTGAGGAACTCCACTTGTTATCCCTTTCCAGCAGGATTTAGAACCGTTAACAACAACTCTCTGACTACGGTTATCCAGCCAATTATGCACCCACCTTATCGTGGCCCTATCTAAGTTATATTTGCCTAGTTTATCAATAAGAATATCATGCGAGACCGTATCAAATGCCTTACTAAAGTCTAGGTATATGACATCCACCGCTTCTCCCTTATCCACAAGGCTCGTTATCCTATCAAAGAAAGCTATCAGATTAGTTTGGCATGACTTGTTCTTCACAAACCCATGCTGGCTATTCCCTATCACTTTATTACCTTCCAAGTGTTTGCATATGATTTCCTTAATTACCTGCTCCATTATCTTCCCTGGGACAGACGTTAAACTGACCGGTCTATAATTTCCTGGGTTGTTCTTATTCCCCTTTTTATAGATGGGCACAATATTTGCCCTTTTCCAGTCTTCTGGAATCTCCCCTGTCTGCCATGATTTTTCAAAGATCATAGCTAAAGGCTCAGATACCTCCTCTATCAGCTCCTTGAGTATCCTGGGATGCATTTCATCAGGACCTGGTGACTTGCTGACATCTAACTTTCCTAAGTGATTTTTAACTTGTTCTTTGTGTATCCTATCTTCTAAACTTACCCTCTCTCTGCTTGTATTCACTACGTTAGGCACACCTCCAGACTTCTCGGTGAAGACCGAAACAAAGAAGTCATTGAGCATCTCCGCCATTTCCAAGTTCCCTGTTACTGCTTCTCCCTCCTCACTAAGCAGTGGGCCTACCCTGTCCTTGGTCTTCCTCTTGCTTTTAATGTATTTATAAAAGGTCTTCTTGTTTCCCTTTATGCCTGTAGCTAGTTTGATCTCATTTTGTGCCTTTGCCTTTCTAATCTTGCCCCTGCATTCCCGTGTTGCTTGCCTATATTCATCCTTTGTTAGTTGTCCTAGTTTCCATTTTTTATATGACTCCTTTTTTATTTTGAGATCATGCAAGATCTCCTTGTTAAGCCAAGCTGGTCTTTTGCCATATTTTCTATCTTTCCTACACAGCGGAATTGTTTGCTTTTGGGCCCTTAACAACGTCCCTTTGAAATACTTCCAACTCTCCTCAGTTGTTTTTCCCTTCAGTCTTGCTTCCCATGGGACCTTACCTACAAGTTCTCTGAGCTTATCAAAATCTGCCTTCCTGAAATCCATAACCTCAATTGTGCTGGTCTCCCTTCTACCTTTCCTTAAGATCATGAACTCTATTATTTCATGATCACTGTCCCCTATACTGTCTTCCACTTTCAAGTTCTCAACTAGTTCCTCCCTATTTGTTAAAACCAAATCCAGAACAGCTTCTCCTCTGGTAGCTTTTTCAACCTTCTGAAACAGAAAGTTGTCTCCAATGCAGTCCAGAAACTTATTGGATAGCCTGTGCCTCGCTGTGTTAGTTTCCCAACATATGTCTGGATAGTTGAAGTCCCCCATCACCACCAAATCTTGGGCTTTGGATAGTTTTGTTAATTGTTTAAAAAAGGCCTCATCCACCTCTTCCACCTGGCTAGGTGGCCTGTAGTAGACTCCTAGCATGATATCACCCTCGTTTTTTACCCCTTTTAGCTTAACCCAGAGACTCTCTACACAGCTATCTCCTACGTTCATCTCCACTTCAGTCCAAGTGTGTACATTTTTAATATACAAGGCAACCCCTCCTCCCTTTTTTCCCTGTCTGTCCTTCCTGACAGAATGTGCTCAGCATGTTTGTCTTAGACCTGCCCACTCTTCCCTGTTGAAGAAACAAAAACATGAACAGGGAAGAACTGTTCATTCTTCTTTTAAAAGACTAGGGGGGCAGTGTCCCCTGCTCTCTCTGCTTCCAAACTCAGCCCATCCCACCAGGTTTCTGTAATACCAATGATATCATAGTTGTATTTATTGGTTAGCAATTCCAGTTCTTCCTGCTTATTACCCATACTTCTTGCATTTGTATATAGGCATCTAAGATACTGATTTGATCTTGCCTCCCTGTTGTGCCCTGACCCTCCTTTCTCCTTGCCATTATAGGCCGTAGTCCCCCCCATTTCCAACCCATCTCCCAGTCCCGCACATTCAGCACTTACCTGTGGGGTTTGCTCACCTGCCTCCGTCGAACCTAGTTTAAAGCCCTCCTCACAAGGTTAGCCAGTCCTGCCTGTATTTCAAAGAGTTGGACCGCATTGTGGGGGGCGGGGCAGTCCCTTCCCCCCCTAGTTATAGACTCTGGGCTGGAGATGCCCATTCTCGTCCTTGCTGGGGGCACAGACAGAAAGGAGGAGGACCAGGACCTGGATGAGGCCAGCCTGAGCACACAGGTGGCCCAGGAACCCCAAGGCCTGCCTGCGGACCTCTCCCAGGCATCATCGGAGGCCAGAGAAGGAACATCCTGTGAGTGCTATCACTTTCCCTTCATACAGGGAGTGGAGGAGATGGGCAGCTGGAGGGAAGGGCTACTGGGCACAGCATGCTTGGCCTTTGCTGGCTGCAGATGCCTCAGCAACCTGTGCACATGGGAGCATTTGCTCTGCCACTCCTGGGCATGCGGCCCCAGGAGGCTGCCACAGAGGACCCTTGTGCTATTGGCCACATGATTTCTGGAGAGGCCTGCCATGCTCCTGACCCTCCCTCCACAAGCCACCTCAAGAAGGAGGGAGGGGACATTGACACACATACACTCAGCAGTCCCACATGGCCTGGCTCCAAGCACATTGCGATGGCATTGAGAACTATCACTCTTGGCTTGCAGATAGGGGCTGGGCTTCAGGCACTGTGTCCCCTGGGATGACTCACCATCTGTCTTTATTCTCCACAGCCAGACCAGCTGTGAGTGGAAGGTGGGCTACACCACCTGGGACATTCTCCCACACCCGAGGCTTCTGCAGGCGCACACATCCAATGGACAAGCACCAGCAACAGCACCTGGCTGCACTGTGAGCCCTGCACAATACCATCCACCGCTGGGTGGAGAAGGACCTGCAGCTACAGCAGGAGAATTGACGGGAGCTGCTTGCACAGGGTTGCTCCCTGTGCAATGATGTACATACCTTTGTGCAGCACATGCTGCCTCTTCCCGCTCCCT